TATATATATATATACATATGTGTGTACATGCATTTTTGGTTTGGCCTTGGAGCTTGTTAAGGAAAGGAGATCTGTTGTACTGTAACTATCTCAACTTCTCAGTTTATTATTTATTTATTTTGAGACTGAGTTTCACTCTGTAGTCCAGGTTGGCCTGCAACTTTCTATGTGGTCCAGGTTGGCCTCAGACTCACGGTAATTCTGCCTCAGCATTTTGAGTGCTCAGATTACAGGATTTATTCCAATCCTGATATTTGTGGCATACTGGAAGTTAAAACTAAAGACCTGAGTGGAATCAAATTTACCAGTGTTGAAAGGGGACTTCAGAGATGCTCCTGAATGCTTTCCACAGTTCTTGTCAGGAAGCATGTGTTTTGTTGCCCCACTTTAGTAATGTGAATATTCATCACGAAAATTCACCTGGTAACTGTCTGCTGATTTTGTATGTAATTGTCACTAAACTCTCATTAAAGTTTTTTTTCGGTAAAGTTTTTTTTCCCTGGAAGTCAGATTTCTGTATCTCAACAGCAATCATCAGCCAAATGAGATTCTATGAAAGTCATCACGTTTTTTTTTTTTTTTTTTTCAATTAAAAATTTTTTTAAGCGGGGTCTTGCTAAGTAGCCCATTCTGACCTAGAACTCATAATCTTCCTGCCTTAGTCTCTCAAGTACTGGGTTTACAGGTGTGTACATGTGACATTTCATTTGATCCTGCAACAACTATTTAATTGAGAATTATTATGGGCTGGAGAAATGGCTTAGCAGTAAGGGGCATTACTGCTCTTGTAGAGGACCCAAGTTCAATTCCTAGCACCCACATTGGGAGACTCACAATGACCTGCAGCTCCAGCTCTAGGAGATCCAATGCCTCTGGCCTCCATGGGCACCTGCACTCACATGCACATAACTCTCCCTCTCCTCAACTTCCACATACACTTCATTGAAATAGAAAAGTAGGAGATCCTAGTGGACAGCCTGAGAGGGTTGTTCAGACTTCCATCTGGATAGCTGTTTAGAGCTCAGCAGAGCACCAGAGAGTGCCAAGTTCTGGCCTCCCTCTGGCCTCCAACTACCAGAGGGCCTGACAACCCAGGGGACAGCCTGACAGCCCCTGGATCCTGCCTCCACGTGGTAGTGAGCTTCCCCTCATTGCGCCATACCATCCCCCTACCTGGGATTTTATGAGGCCCCTCCCAAGGCCGCAAGGCAGATCTGGCTTTGGTAGGCTAAGGCTGGGATCTCAGCAGACCACCAGAGAGTGCCAAGTTGTGGCTTCCCTCTGCCCTCCCTCTGGCATAAGGTTTACAACACACGGGACTGCCTGATAGACCCTGGATCCTGCCTCTATGTGGTGAAGGATGCCTGAGCGTACCTGATTGGAACCTGAATTGGGCTTCTGTGGGTACCCCTGAGTAGCTGATCTGAAGCCATTACTTCCCTCCAAAATAAATCTGAAAGAACCTGAACCCTGTACCAACCAGTTTTACATAACCAATGAAGAAAGGATCTAGGCACCTCAATAATACAAACAGAAGCAAACTTCAACTTAATTCTCATATCAGAATCATAAACAGTAAAAGAAATTCACATGCCTAAACCACAATGAAAGAATAATAAAATGGAACACCAAAACAGTATGTCCCCACCAAATCCCACCAATCTTGTCAAAGAGTTGTACAAGGAGAACCCCTTAGAGATAACCCAGGACATTGAATTTAAAAGAACAATCACAAACATGATCAAGGAATGCAACAAATTTAAACACATAAACAAACAAATCAAAGAGAAAAAAGAAGATAGGGATAAACTTCTGAATGAATTCACAAAAGAGATAGAAACATTGAAGAAAACTCAGGCAAAAATGAAGAAGGAAGTACAAAACTCAACAAGCCAACTTGAAACAACAGGGGAAAGCCTCACCTCTAGAATGAATGAAATGGAAAACAGAATATCAATACTGGAGGACAAAGTTGAAGGATTGGATCACTGAAAGCAAAGAGTATGAAAAATTAAAAAAACAAAACAAAACACAGGAATGGAATATGCAAGAGATATGGGACACCATGAAAAGACCAAATTTACGGATCATAGGAATAGAGGAAGGAGAAGAATTTCAAGTTAATGATATTGACCAGATCTTAAACAGGATTGTAGAAGAGAATTTCCTGAAATGAAGGTAAGACATCCCCATACAAATACAGGAAGCACATGGAACACTAAATAGACAAGATCAGAAAAGAAACTCCCAATGACATATCATAGTAAAAACACTAAATATACAGAACAAAGAGAGGAGAATTAGTATCGAGAATAAACTAAGAAGTCAAAAACTACACATCAACAAAACAACCCAATGAAAAATTAAGGCAAGAAACACAGAAAATTCTCTAAAGATGAAACACCAATACATGAGAAACACTTTTTTAAATGCTCAACATTTTTTGCCATCGGAGAAATGCAAATTAAAATTACTTCACCCAGCAAAAATGTCTATAATTGTTGAAAAACAAAGAAAAATCTTCCACCACACAAATAGGCTGTAAGAATACATGTCCACAAAACCAGCCCTTTAAAGAATACGCGAAGCAATACAAAGAATGCAGTATGGGCAACAGAAAGAAACTAAATGAAGCTATAATTGTAGAAACACAAAATTAGACAATTCACACAGTAATCAAAATGATAGCAACCAATACACATCTTTAAATAATAACTTTACATATGAATGGACTGAACCACCAGTGTAAAGACAAAAGCTAGTTGAATAGATTAAGAAACAAAACCCATTTTTTTGTTGTTTGCAAGAAACCCATTTAACCTTCAAGGACAGGAACTACCTTAAGGTGAAAGGATGGAAAACAATAGTTCAAGCAAATGACACTAAGAAACAAGCAGGGGTTGCAATTCCAATATCTGACAAAATAGACTTCAAACTAAAACTAATCAGAAGAGATAAGGAGGGTCACTTCATTCTGATCAAAGCAACAGTTAACCAAGAAGATATTACAATCCTTAGCATATATACACCAAATTCTGGCGCATTCATAAAAACAAATTCATAAAAACAACACTACAGGACTTTAAGACACAGACTAACCTCAACTCAGTAATAGTAGGGGACTTCAATACCCCACTGTCTCCATTTCACAGGTCAACTGGACAAAGAATAAACAGAGAGATGTTTGAATTAAATGATACGATACATCAAATGCACCTAACAGACATCTTTCAATTATTCCACCCAAACATGAAAGAATACACCTTTTACTCAGCACCCCATGGAACTTTTTCAAAAATTGACTATATACTGGGCCACAAAGCAAACCTCAACAAATACAAAGATATTGAAATAATTCCATGTATTCTACTGGACCAAAAAGCAATAAGGCAAATCAACACTCAGTGAAGCTCTAGTCACTACACGAACTCATGACAATAGAACAATGCACTCCTAAACAATGAGTGGGTCAAAGGAGAAGTTAAGAAAGAAATGAATTCCTGGAATTCAATGAAAAGGAAAATACAACACAACACAACCTCTGGGACACATTAAAAGCAGTCCTAAGAGGAAAGTTTATAGCTCTAAGTGCCTAGATTAAAAAATT